GCTTGGGGAAAAGCGACTCCAGGGAAGAAAGGAATCAGATGGGACAAGGTGGTAGAGAGGGTTTGGAAGGAGATAGGAGACGAAGAGGAGACATTGGACACGGAAGGGTTTGGGGGGTTCAAGAAGAAATTCAAGGTTATGCTAGAAAGTAGGGAGGAGGCAACCCTTCGGAAGAAGGTACGAAGCAAAGACCACTTGGAGATATACGGGAAGTTGAAAGAAGGGATAGGGATGAAGAGTTACTTGGACGGCCCCATGGACTACGCAAAAAAANTTCAAGAAGAAATTCAAGGTTATGCTAGAAAGTAGGGAGGAGGCAACCCTTCGGAAGAAGGTACGAAGCAACGACCACTTGGAGACATACGGGAAGTTGAAAGAAGGGATAGGGATGAAGAGTTACTTGGACGGCCCCATGGACAACGCAAAAAAACTGAAGTTGCAATTTCGAGTAGGCGATCTGGACTTGCCAGAACGGAGGAAGAGGTAGAGCAGCCGTAGGAGAGCGGAAGAGGAGGATAGACAGACATGTCCATGTGGCAAATCGGAGGAGAGTAGACCCCACATAGTTGGGGAGTGTGAGCTGTACAGGAAGGAAAGAGAGGATCTCGAGGAGGACATGAGACAGAGAGGGTGTGACATGGACAAGTTTGGTAAATTAGACAACAGCGAAAAAACGATCGCGGTAATTGGGGATAGATGGTGGGCACAAGAGGCCGTAGAGCACGGGGATAAGATGTGCAAGAAATATTTATGTTTGTTGTTGTTGTTGTTGTTTCTCACATTAGCTCTAAAAAAAGATTGGGAGCCCGTGGTCTCAAAACCCGGCATACACGACCCCACGAAGAAACAGAAAAAAATAGGGTACAAAAACCACTCGGAAGAGAAACAAAATGATAGAAAGAAAGACCAGCTACCGCACCAAACGAGAAAGAGCGTCGAGGAGACCGATCAAAATAAAATAAAAGGAGAACGGGGAACGCTTCCCACACCCGCCTACAACGCCGGAGGGTTCCGTGCCGGGTTCCCGCCGACCAGGCATCCCCCGCCCTGCACCACACCCCAGGGGGTGCAGCAAGACGGGGGGCGAAAAACAAACACATATATATTTCCACAAAAAAAAAAAAAATCGAAGGACAACGTACACCAGTACCAGGTACTACAGCAGTGCAGTATGCACCAGCGCATTAGTGTAGGGTAGGCACCGCACCAAAGAGGCAGCAGAGGTGGCAGGCAGCCAGCAAAGGAAAAAACAAAAATAACAAGGAGCTCGAGGTATCGTCCAAGATCATCGTAGAGAGGGCATGGAGAACAAGAAAGAAAGAAAGAAGAAAAGCACAAAGAGAGGCCGGAGGCAATACTAAGAGCATACAGCTTACGGCAGGGAAAAGGGAACACAGGGTGCGACAACATCATCAGTTGGGTACGTCGTTCGCCGCAAGCGCGGCCTTGGCCGCCCTACTCGCTTCTACAGCAGTGTCCGGTCGCCGTTTCTTCCCCCCCCCCGCCGCTTCCCCGATTCTCTTTCTCTTCGGGCCCGGGGCGGCCGTGCTCTCCGTCTCTGCTTCCTCCGCGCGCTGGCGCTGGCGCTTCGCGGATGCTTCCGCCTCCTGTCTGTGCCATTTCCTCATGAACCATGCCGCCCCGTCCTCGATCTTGTCGTACCACGCCTCCTGGTCCTTGGCGCTCTCTTTCCATCTCCCCCCCTCCTTCTCCTCTTTCATGCCAAACGCCACGAGGTCCTCTCCTAGGCGATACACCCAGTCGCTCTCCTGCCCGCCCCGGTATCCGGTACCCCCCGCCATCGCTCCCAGCAGCATGCGCTTGGGGAGGCGGTTGTCCTCCATGCGCATAACGAAGCCCGCAAAACACAGCCTCCGTTTGCGCACGGTGGCCTCGATGGTTTCCTCGCAGCCGGCCTGGATGAGGGCCTGGGCGTAGGACAGGGGTCGGTCTGAGCGCTTCCGCTTGCTCCAGCCGATACACCGTGTCAGGAACTGGCGGTGGGTCCCATTCAGCTTGGTGTAGTGCTCCGCTGCCAGGCTCCACGAGGCGCACCCGTATAGGAGGGTCTGCACCACTTCAGCCTGGAGTAGTCGGATCTTGAGCTGGCGGTTGGCCCGTTTCCTGTCGTACATCGAAGTGCTGTTCCGGCGGTAGCACTTCCATGCTCGGCAGATGCGGCTCGTGATCTCCCGGTCGACCTTCCCATCCGCGCAGATGGTACGTCCGAGGTACACAAACCGATCTGTCTGCTTGTACGTCTGGCCAGCGGCGCTGACCGCGAACGGGCGTTCCCCCAGCCCTTTCGGTAGCATGCACATGATCTCCGTCTTTGGCTCCGATACCATCAGTCCGAACAGGCCGGCCACGCGCACGATGATGGACATCATCTTTTCGAGGCTCTCCGGCGTGAGCGAGACGATGGCCGCGTCGTCAGCGTAGAGCATGTCCCACAGGGCCTCTGCGACCGTCACCATCATCGCCTTCTTCCCCGCCGACCTGCCCCTCTTGCCCGTGCACTCCACTCGTGTTGCGATCTTGATCATATCCGCCGTCACCTTGGGGTCCTTGTCGAACTCGGTCACTGCGACCATGCGCATCGCGGCAGAGAACAAGTTGAACAGCAGCGGGGCCAGGTTGCACCCCTGTCGGAGACCTTGGCCGACGTCAAACCATTCCGAGTACTGCCCGTCGTCCGTTCGAACCCGCGCCCTCATGCCCTCGTGGAAGTGGCGAATGACCGCCAGCATCTTCGGGGGCACGCCAAAGCGTCCGAGCACGTCCCACAGCAGATCTCGGTCCACCGAATCGTACGCCTTGGTGAGATCGACGAAGCACGCGAAGACCGCAGTACTCTTCTTCCTCGCGAGCTCATGGAGCCGCTGGATCGCGAACAGCATGTCGAGCGTCGACCGGTGTGGGCGGAAACCGCTCTGCTCCTCCGGGAGGATGCCCTCTCGCTCGCAGTAGTGGCTTAGGCGTGTTGCAACGACCTTAAGCAGCACCTTGCCGGCGTGTGCAACGAGAGAGATGCCCCGGTAGTTGCCGCACTCCATCGTGTCCCCCTTCTTGAACAGAACCTTGATGGTGGCGTCCTTCCACTGCTGCGGTACGTTCCCCGTCTGCCACACGTCCACGACGATGGCGTGGAATTCGCGGAGGAAGCCTCGGTCTCCATCCAGGAACAGCTTGATCAGCTCAGCCGGTAGGTCGTCCGGCCCGACGGCCTTCCTGTTGGCCATTCCCCGCACCGCCTCCTCAACCTCGAATAGAGACGGGATGTCGTCGAGCGGAACGCACGTGGGCCACTGCTTGACTCTGTCGGTCGCATGCAGGTCGATGGTCGGCGACTTGGTGTTAAGGAGCTTGTGGAACCACCGCGCCCACCGCTGGCGGGTAAGCGTGGGGTCCCGAAGGACCTTACCGTCCTCGTCCTTGATGTTCTGGGAGGTAAGTGGCCTCTTACCTTCGACGTCGATCATCTTCAGGTGCCTGTAGAAACCCGCCTGGTCCCCCTCACGGCTCTTCTTCTCGAGCTGCCTCACATAGCCCTCGAAGAACTTTTCCAGTGCTCTCCACCTCGCGCTGCTGCGTTTCTTCCGCGCCGCCTTGAGCTTCGCCTTCAGGGTCGTCTCTAAGTCGCTGTTCTTTGAGGCCCCACGCAGCTGCTGTTGGGCCACTCTTATCTCCCTAGACGCTTCGGAAATCTCGTGCTGCGCTTCGCTCGTGTACCATCCTCCCTTCCCTCGTGCGCTCCTCGCCAGCGGCGCGATCTCCGCAGCGGCCGACATCACCACAGCGGTGAGCTCGGCGGCGGTCTCTCCCGTTGGCCTGCTGAGGGCCGTGGGCGGAGGGCGGTTGAGAGCCCTGTCTTGGAAGACGGCCCGTAGGTGCACATCCTTCCTCAACCGTTCGAGGTCGATACGGATCCGGCTGCTTCCGCTGTTTCCCCGCGTTCGTCGGTTGGGTGCGACACGGGGGGGGGAGCGGACAGTCGTATGCACCAGGTTGTGGTCAGAGTCCTTGAAATCGACACGTTTGACGGAGGCATTACGTACGAGACGCCGGTCCGTCTGTCGCATGAGGATGAAGTCGAGGCGGTGCTTCTCCTTCCCCTTGTTGGAGCTCTGGAACGTATGCTGCACTCCTCCTTTCGGTGTCCGGAAGTAGGTGTTGATCAGGGAGAGTCGGTTGTCTGCTGCCAGTCCGAGAAGTCGTTCCCCGTTGTTGTTCATAATGTCGCGTCCGTACGCGCCCATAATCTTGGCATCGCAGCATCCGTCTCGCCTCCTGCCAGTACGTGCGTTGGCGTCCATTAGTACCACGAGATGGTCACGGCTATGGACCTCCCGGATCTCTGCGTCGAGAGCAGTCCAGAAGGAGTCCTTGGCATTGACATCACCGCCCGCGGTGTTGCGGGCAGTTTCCGTAGGGGCGTACCCCACCACGAAAGTTACTCCGCAGGTGCGGCCAATTTGCAGGCGCACCTTCATCAGCCTCGGGCTAATGCACTCCACCGTCCTACCTCCCTCGCCTACGCTGTCCCACATGGTCTCCTTAATCGCTATGCCCACACCGTGCACGCCCCTCTTGTCCTTGGTGCCGGCACGGGCACCACTCCAGATGATCACGTACCCGTCGTGTGTAATCGCGCCTTGTAATTTGTGGCAGAAACGTCAAGAGCTCCCAAATGTTGGTGGTGTCTCTAGTAGGGGTAGGAACGATGCTCCGTCTCGAAAGGGACGCGTGGTCCATGGTCAAATGACCACGGCAAGCAACAAATGAGTACGCCCCACCCCCCACCCCCCCCAAACTCGGCGAGGGACCTTCGTTTGGGATCGTCGATATCGTCCATGCTGTACTACTGATCGTATTGGAACATTAGACTTGCATCCAGGGCTGGTATTTTTTGCGGTCGCTTGTACGCCACCCAAGCCATTAAAAAACTGTAAACAAACTAACACAGCTTGCGCACCGGCAAGTACCACCGTGACTAAATCCTGCTACGCGAACTGCTGCCATCGACAAGCTCTCTCCTCTTAAACGGCAGGTTCGGGAGGAGTTGTTCCATGCAGCGCCTGACCCAACATCCTGCCCATCTACCCAAGTACCGCCACCAACCTGCTGTCCGTCCATTCAGTGATATACCATTGTGTCGTCAACGGTATAATGATGGCATAATACAGTGATCTGACTCTAAATACCAGCTTTGCACCAACGCATGTAATCTTTGTTTTCCCTCAAGAACACCCTAAACCCAAAGCCTATCTATCCCTCGCATACATACATAGGGCATTTACCTACCTCAAGCGAGTGCACATCTGACATGTCTTTTTCTACCGCGCCTTCCAACAATAACGAGGGTGCACAAATCACCAAGTTGGCAGAAGCCCCACCAATCCCTCGAAATCGGCTCCGTAGTATTGGGGGTCCGCACACTGCATGCATGCAAGCCCCGTGCAGTCGCGCTGTTGCGAAGCTGGGCCATCAAACCCACCCTACGTCAAGACGAGGACCGTAAACTCGCACAGTTAGGCGGTTGGAAAAATCATCGCCTCTTCTCTCCGGGAACACCTACCCCTCCGAAGGCGCACAATCATGGAGAAGCATATTCTCGGCCCAACCAGAGAGGACAAGGTCAGGGCGGCATGGCAAACAACGGAGGCCCCTCACGGCCAATGTCACGCGGGTCTGGTCTACCACGTGCTGTAGACGACAACAGCCTCGTTCTCCATGTTTCGTATGTCCGGTGTGCAACGTCCGTCCTGTCGTCATTAGCTGTCTGTGCCTGTGTGGCGGCTCCACCTCGTCCTACGCCTCTCCGACTGCCCCAGACCATACTGTGTACGAAACCAACGCACTTCGTCGGATTGCCCCCGTGGACAAGAGGCTGATCTGCCGCAGGTCTCGAGGGAACAACCAAAAGCGTTTTCGTCGACAACAGCATGCTAATCAAACACCGCCTCTTCCTCCGTCTCCTCTATCGAGAGACACGGTTCCAAGGCACGGTTGAACTGCACTGCAGTGCGTTAAAACCGGCATGTTTCTGCCACGGAGTTTCTCTGCGACAAAAAACAAGGGGCCGCCATCATGGCAACAACAGTCGCGCGTCTTTATTGTTGGCAACGTGAACAAAATCTCGTCGATCGCGTCAGCCGTCGATGGCGGCGTGTCCATCCTCGTCCATCGCCTCTCCCTCCTCCTCCTCCTCCTCCTCCCGCCCGCCCTGAGCCGGAACGGATTCTTCCACCAGCCCGTCCGCGACGAGGATGTTCGCGACTGTCTCCAGCAGCCAGCCGAAGTTGTGGAAGATAGCCAGCTGCCTGGAGACCACGGAGGAAAGGAACAAGAACGATGTCGACCCAAGTTAGATATGAAGTAATCATTTCATTTTTCACTTTCAGAGTGTACCTTCAACTCGCTTATCCGTTGGCACAAAATTCAGGACAAGGTACAGATGCAAAGAGTTCATCGTGGTAGCGTGGATGCCCTCGCCGTGCTACTATTCAGCAATCCTCGCATGCTATGCAGGTCATTGGGAGCTCCCACTGCTGGGGTAGCAAACTCCACACGAAACGGTAGAGGTTGCCTCGAGTATGAAAATTGACAGAAGGAAGGAGCAACGGCCCCATGACCACCAGCCACCCCACCCAAGGTGCGGGAATGAACCAGCGGCTGTCCTGAGGAACCAACAAGAACACAAGAAGAGAAGATGGACAGAAATAGTCCCGCACAACTGGAGGTGACGTTTCAGGGTCGAATTTCCCCGCACGCATGTCGAGAACGACTCCCTGCGTCCACATTGACTTTGATAAAGATGTGACTCAATTTCACCACTGAAGAGTCGGGTTCGAACCCGGCCAACCACCAAAAAAAGGGTAGCGGGGTCAAACAACGCATTGCTTTGTTCCGCATATACCCGATGCATGTCCGATGCGAGATAGGGAGAGCATATCCCGGCCTTTTCCAGTTGGTGAAAACGCAAGTCGAATACCTCCTGTACGTGTGGATCTGCGTCATTCGTGGCCCTGTTCATCGGTTATGTTCCTGCTTGTGGAGAAGGTCGTCTTTTTGTCAGAGGACTTGTGGGATTTGTCACGACGTGACCAACGTAGCGCCGTCACGATTTGCGATCACTCTCCGATGGCCTCGTAGATGCTTGTTGTCCGGGTCACACCAGACACCACCCAAACCACCCCCACGATAGATAAACAACGAACCATACGCCACCGCGGGGTGGAGAGGGAACACAAAAAATGAAACCAAGTAAAAGGGGTTGTACGCAGCAGTTGGGAATCGACAACAAACACACGAATCACGCACCTCAGCAGCTTCATGGTCTTGTGGAAATCTTGCTGGCTTTCTTCAGCCACCAGAGGCCCCGAGCAGGGGCACGTGAGGCTCATGGACCTCGTCGCGACGGCGCCGCACTTGGCGCACTTCATATCTTGTAGCTGGTACCGCACGCTGTCAAAAAAAAAAAATGAGAATGTTGGGTTGGTGATATCATACTAGGGTTGCACGAGCGTTGCAATGAAGGGTGGCTGTCGCAAGTTGATCAGGGTTAACGTTGTTTAGGGCGAGGAACGCGTCCAGGGCTCCAGCACACTGCGGTAGGGATAGAAGCTATAACATAGCTCATGTATTCGTCCAGCAAAAAGCAGCAAGCAGTCTGGAAGAGCGGAGCGTGATATGGGTTATGAACCTAGAATGAACAACAAAGGTAGGTCGCGAAACAAGGTGTTAAATTCCTACTTTCGATGTGAGATCGCGCCAACTTCGAAAAAGAAGACCTGAAGCTAGCAGCACCATCGGCGAAATTATAGCACGAACGTACAGCAGGAATGTACAGCATGTGGGAAAAAGGGGAGCAAACTGTTATTCTCTCCTGTTATTGTTTCCGCACTTGCATGCCTTTCGGTTGTTGTTGGTGTCGTTCTCACCTTCTACGCTGTACGGCCTCCACGAGGGATAGCTCGATGCTGCTACGCTCGTACGGGTGATTGCACTGGATGCACTGCCACCTTTCCTCCTGTTTCAGGACGCACACATAATAACAACAAACGGCAACACTTGTAAGAGAGTCGAGCTGACGAACAATGCAAAGGACAGGATAGGCAGGAAACACGCGACAACAAAAATTGCGATTCTCTTAGCACATACATTTGGTGCATTGATATCTCCCGCCTGTTCTCGCTCTTGAGGGTGCCCTAGTTCATTATTCTCCCCAGCATGCGGGGACACGGACAAGCACGCCAAACCTACAACAGAACCCAGTTTCTACAGGGGGAGCCAACGCGAAAGGGATTACTCCAGGGGAAGCGAAGGGAGAGCCACGGGGGCGGGGGATAGACCAACGTCAGCCAGACCCGGCGACACAGATTCACAAAATAAGGAAAGGGAAGAAGCCGACACACGCTCTGTCTGCGTTTTTATACACAGACACACAAAGAAGGGCAGACAAGAAGCTGACAAACCCGCTGTCTGAATATTATTACACAGACACGCAAAAGAGAGAGAATAATCTGACACACGCCCTGCATTATATCTGTTCAGACCGCACAACACAGCCGTTCGCCTGCCTACCTCGTCCTCGTCCATGAGACGCGCGTCGCGGCAAAGGTCCAGGTCGCGGCACAGGTTGCAGAAGGAGCAGATCACGTCCGGCAGCACGAAGCTCACGCAAGGGTCGCTGTACTGACCCTCCGCAGAGAACTGACGGACGCCCACCTCGGCCAGAGCCTGCTTCCTCAGCGTTTCCACCTGTGAGGCGTGCGTCGCGCCGGGGGTTGGGTGGGGGAGTACTCATGTAAATGCATGAGTGGTCGTTAGACTATATACCCCGCATGTCTACAACGCCAGGACGGAGGAGCGATATGCAGGTTTTCGCCGGACTTTTCATGAGGGTGAACCAGAAGTTGGTCATCATCCTTGCGTCGAGCCGGCGAGTGTCGGCATCAATGCGGTGTGTATTTGTAGCCGGCAACGGGAAACCATCCGTTTTTGATCGACTCTTCTATCGTTGTGGCCGTTTTGTCGGGAGCGGTCGCATGACAGCTCGCGCTCCTTTCGTGTCTTCGCTTCATTCGTTCTTTTCCCCATTGTGTACTTCTTCTCCCCAAATCAAAATAGAAAATAAATCCAAAACAAATAGAACAAACAAAAAACACACACAAACACCAACAACATGAACGAAAATAACGAAAAACAACAACCGCTCCGCACACTCACCTCATCCGTGACGGTTGGATCTAGGCTGAGAACATGGCAGAGGCTCTTGATGAACTCGAGGGCGGGGTTGGTTAGCTCGCGCGCCGCTCCAGGCTTGTTCGGGAACGCGTCCGGCCCGCTACCGCTGTACTTCTTGATGGCGGGAACCGTCTCAAGAACCTGGTTTTCCCACAAAACAAAAGTTGCAATATCACCGATAAATATCAAGTACTTGGTACACTCTTACAGGTGGCCATACTGTTCTAAATTCTAACACGACCGTCCACATACGTTCCTAAATCGGCTTGATTTATTGCTCGGCTTCAATGTCTTCAGGAGCAGCGCAAAAGGCCGTTTAATGGAAGCGGATATTTTCAACAGTCCATGTTTGAGTTGACTCGCTGACCCTCTGCACAAACCGACGGACAAGATACTTGCGTACGCCAACGGTGCCGTGTTGAAAATCAGAGGCTTAGGGTCTGCTAAGACTGTATAGTCAAGAACAGTTCCCTGGTGGTTTTGCTGGTGTCAGACTGCTTGGTGTGTTCTTTTCAGCGAACGTCAGATCTGCTGAAAAGAGGTCCTCACTACAAACAAGATAATAGGCTGATGACGCAAGTCAGAAGTCTATCTGTTCACGTGATCTGTGCTACGGCGGTAGCAGCAGTGAGCAAGCAAGGTAACAGAAGCGTGTGCCACACCTTGTTGACAGGTGTGCTGAGGTGCACTGTAGACGTGAGTCTACAACCAAATGGTCTTTGGTTCAAAGAGAAATGAGAAACAGATGTTGTACAAATTTTTGTTGTATTGTTGAGCTGGGCAGGAAGTGAGCTCAGTGGGGGGCGTGCGCTCTGCCTGGTCAGCGTTTTTGTCGACTACCGACGAAACTACGAAGAACCTTAGTACCGTCCGGAACCGTTCCGGGAACGTTCTGGAACCAAGTACCGTTCTATAAGACCAAAAGGACCGTTCCGGAAACGTTCTGGGAACCTTTCTAATCTTACTCTGGATTTTTCCTGAGAACGTTCCTGAGAACCGTTCTGGGAAAGTATGCCCGATCCAGGAAACATTCTATGAACCGTTACGGAATCTACCGCATCCATCAGCGGATCGTTCTAGATACCTCTCCCGAAATATCGTTCTTCGAGTTGAACTTACTTCCTTATTAGCTTTTACACCGCGTTTAGTGTGGGTTGTCACGTATGCTGAAACTGTATAGTTTTGTGCTACTGGAATCGCTCATGATCACATATACGGTGTTCTCAAGAGAATACGAAAAACAGCAGTCTTTATCAGTTGAGACTGATATTTCTAACATGCTACGGTGTTCATTTCGTGTCCTATCTGAGTTACAGAGCACCAAAAGACAACATACGATGTCTTGTGGAATACTCTGTTATACTTCTCAATCGCTGGGAAAATTGTCGTATCTTGCAACGGCGTATTTGACAGGGGTACGTGCCACGTGCGTTCAGCTGCTGTAATAGCGGTCGGCGGGTGTAGAATGTGAACGGACGGAAGGAATACCCGGCCCTCATGAAACAAAAGCATGGCGAGTGTCAGATTCAAGGAGCAGCACCCCAGGCAACGTCATTTTTCCGTCCCAGCGTATTGCAAAAAAAAATATCCCTGATACGAACGAAAATAGGCCAAGGGCGCGTAGCCTTACCTTGTCCGTGAGCGTCCTCGTGACCAGGTGTTTGAGGAAGTCGGCCATCGACTGCGACTCGTTCGCTTCTTCCTTGCGAAGTGCCTGGTCAATCAAAAACAACAGCGTGGGCGACCCATCACTTGTGCTAGTCTAGAGACTTAGAACAAGTACTTTATTCACGTCGGAGAACAAATACCCAATCGACCCATCAACAACCCGGATGGAGCAAAGGGGACGGGCGTAAACGGTGATCGGGTAGGACGGTGCCCCAGCAGTTGCTTCGTCACTCGGAGGTATGAAGTCTCTCATTGTTGCCTTGCCAAGGTTATCCACGGCGGATGAGGAGCACTCAGCCACTTAAATGTTGGCGATGACGTGAGTGGCACGAGTGGCGGTTGAACCGTACGCCCACGTTTCGTGAACCAAAGAAAAGAGGGAAACCTGTAGCGGAGGGTCGTTGCTGCTGCCGCTGTCTTCACATTCAATACCACCATCCAACTCGTGTTGGAGAAAAAAAAGTACAAGAGCCCCTTGCAATGCACCATGACCCGATCTCACCCCGCCATGTGACACCGCGTCGCGTTTCCCGATTCCACATCGTCGCACCACGTGCTTCCATTTTTTCCTACTCACCGCCTGAACCGCAAGAGCTGCGTCCATTTCCCCCTGGCTGGCCGGTACACCGCCGCCGCCGCTCCCCCCTCTGTCCGTCCCGGGCGGGGCCGGGCCGTTCGGCTGCGACCATTGCGTCAGCTGGTTGCTGAGGCTCGCGACCATCCTGCACACGAGAGGACGGGACGTGATAAGATTTACCGAGTGTGTGTATGTGTGTTTTCGTCCTATTTATTATGGCGACACCCTATTTTTCGTGGTGAGACGTGTACTACACTTTTCAGCGGATGTAGAGTACTACACCTTTCAGTGTATTTTTTCGTACAACTACAACCATCCAGGGTCACACAGGAGGGGGTAAGCCCCAGGGCTTTTTTCTTCTTATTATTACTTCTCATGCCCCATCTTCCTCCTGCGATGCGTGCTGAATTTTATTTTTATCGCGAGAAGGGTCCAGCCGTCCCTTTCCCTCCTCAACGGTGGTAACGTCGAAGTTTGGTACTCACGAGAGCTTTTAGCTATTTTTCGCTTTCACCCGCAAATGTCGTGATTTTTTCACCCCATGGGGATTCGAACTCACGACCTCTGCGACTAGCGGATTACGAGGATACCACTAGACTACCGGGGCGACCGAGTGTGGAAAACCGTAAAAAAATGGTGGAGAGGGACAAGGAATGGCCATCACGAAACATGGAATGAGGAATGTGAGTGCCGTTCCCTCTGCCTCCCTCTCGCGCGAACGCCTGCTCTCTAACAAAGCACAACTGGCGGGACAGGGGTGTCAAGGACAATCGATTAGTCCTCTTTATGCAAAGCTCCCACAACATCGGTACTCTCCCAAAACTCTTTTCCACAGGTCCCCTGTCGATCGGTGCCGGTGTGTCCACCCTACACGGAGAAGGAGAAATCGCGCAGTCCACAACCGGTCGAGCCGGGGATTATTGTCTTGTTACCGCGTGGGAAAACGTTCTAGAATACCACCACGACGACCTGGAGAGTCCCTTCTCTCTGTTTTCAACCTCTACCACATCACCATACGATCCAACAACAACATAATCAAAAACTGTCCGCTGCACAACTTTCCTGGTCGCTGTTTCTGACACAAAAAAAAACGTACCAGACCTTTATCTACATCCCTACACCACCACCGACACGGATACCTCCACACCTTTCGTGGTCAAGCCTCAGCTGTCGCGCCTTCTCGTGCGGCTTGAGGAGGAAGGTGGACACTAGGATCAGGAACACCTGGCGGACGGAGGCTGGCAAGTACTCGGCCAGATTCCAGTGCGAGACGATGGAAGGCATTTTTCGTTCTGCCATGGTACCGACGGTGCCACTGCCACCACCACCGGATACTCGCGCATCCTCTTCGTCGTCCTCCTCATCTGGCTTGAGGTCATTGTCTCGTTTTGCCTGAATTTCCCACGGCGGAATCAAGTTTGGGGGAGATGCTCGTGCCGCGTGAGATGTTACTGGGAATAGTCCTGTACGTCATGGTGGCGTGATGGTGAGCGGATGTGTACCTCTGCGCAACAAAGTAAAAACGAAGCCAACGACAGGGCCGGTGACACTGATGAAGTCACTGATGAAGTCACCTTTGGTACAGCCTTGTCCTTACGGGACCCGCTACCGCCGCCGTTCCGGTCCTTGAACCGCCTCAACCGTCGCCCCCTCCTTTCCTCCTCCTCTCCCTCCTCTCCCTCCTCTTCCTCCTCCTCCTCTTCTTCGCTGTCCTGGAGACCTTCCGCATCATCCTCAGACCCTTCCTCAGAAAATTCCTCATCGTCACCAGCGTCTTTTCTATTGGCCGTCGCTGCTTCGTCGTCGACGTCGTCCTGCTTTCGCCCTTCTTCGTCTTCTTCTTCTTCGAAGTCCCCCTGGACCTGAATGCCCCCGTAGTCCTGGTCGTCCAGGAAGAGGAGCTGCTCCCAGAACATCTTCGGCTCCAGCTGTGTCAACATTTTAATAAACGATGTCGTGGTTTATATTATTATAAAATTCTACTCTCCAGTTCCGAACAAGACCGCATAAATTTCTGAACCCAAGGTGTTAGTCTGAGAGTGCGCTCGTTACATTGTAGCATTCAAATCAATCGCATGGAGACAAAGCACTGCGTAGTTAGCAGACCGTCATTTTCCCTTAAGAAAGCGTGCTTGCTGTGCGTGTCCCTGGAAGTGACGTCGAGCTTCAGCGTGACCACCACGATAACAGCGGAACCAACACCATCTCCGACACCAGCGCTGCAACATTAACAACACCACCACCGACCGGTCTTTCCGAAAGATAACACGCAAGATAACACCCCCCCAGAACACCCTTAGCAGGATGCAGCGCACCGTCCATACGACTCGCCGAATACCTCACAGAGCTTCGCGCTTGGTGATGTGAGAGCCTGTGGTCCGGTGAGAACCCGGCGTGCTCCGTCCCGGCTTTATAGGAATGCGAGGTCAACGGTCGACTGTCTACGGCATGCACGTCTATGAGTACACCCCCCCCCCCCCCCCCCCCCCCCCCCCCCCCCCCCCCCCCCNCACACACCTGAAGGGTGTTGAAGAGGTCTCGAGACGTCACCGTCGAGATCACGAACTTGGCGTAGTCCCTCGCGGCCTTCACGTCCGACTTGTTCGTGGCGATGATCACCTTCTGGAAGCTCGCGAACACAACGCAGGCTCCCAGGCGCCGAAGCTCGGCGATCAGCCTATTTTAGCAAAGGCCAGACAAGCCGACAGTTACATGGTGAGGGGTGACAAAATCCCCAGGCAGATAAACACATAACACGCCTAAAAAAGAGGAAGATAGACAAGGGCGAGAGTTTGCTACTGCTGCTGGTTTCTCTACGGCAGACGATAAAGAAAGAAAACAATCCAACAAGTAGTGCATTGTGCTGAATCCCCCCTGGAGACTGGTCAGACAGAACTACAGCTCGTGGAGGAAAGAGTCGCGCTGGCACGAGGAGGACAAATTGGACCCCATCAAATAAATGCCTTCCGGTTCTACGTTTGTGTCTCTGCATTCCTCTCTCCGCCTCCGCCTATCGACCCCTCATCTGCAGACATGTACCACAACGTTCATAGACACTCTCTCGCTCCCTTTTCGAACAGAGGGTGGTGCCTCCCTCGCACCTGCTGAAAACCTTGTGCATGAGCCGGTGCACAAGGCAGTGGAGCGTGGCATTGTGCAGCAACGACTGCCGCGCGCAGATCCACCTTTCAGAGGGAAACATCGCGGAAACAAGACGACGATGAAAACGACAACAGTCCACGGAAGGACGGCGGGAAAAAAAAGGGTGGTTACGACACGTCTAATGGCGTCTAATGCGGGGCATTTCGGGGTGGATGGTGAGTGAACGCGAAAGGCGTCAGCCTCAGTTAGTCCACTTCCGATGTTAGAAGGTGCTGCGCAGATCCCAAGCCAACAACAACAACAACAACAACAACAACAATAACGAGGGAAGCAACGAAGAAAAAAACCAAGCTCTAACGAAGAAACAGCAGCGCGTGGAGAGGGGAAAAAACAATCGAAGAAGGAAGTTCTTCTCTATCGCACCGGTAGAAGTGGACGAGAAGGCTGTCAGCGTGGGCGTTGCCCATGTGGGTCACCTCATCCAGCCAAGTGGTGACCAACACCTTCGCGGGACAACGGGGCGCCGGAGATGAGAGCGGGTAAAAATGGTGGTCAAGTGTTGAAGAAACGTTGGCGAAATATCATTACGGCCACAACAACGGCGGCAATGACGGCACTGACGAGTCAACAGACACCAGCATCAACAAAAAGACAAAACAAAAAGTAACTGTTCAGCTCAATGCGGCGGGCTCCTCTTGCGCCCCAGGCAAAACATAGTTTCGCGAGATAGGCAACAACTTTTTGGGGAGCGTGCTAAAAAGTCGAGTCAAGTTTCAGCCAACTAGAATCCCCGCGGGTGCTCTCATGTTTCCTCAACTGACACACAAATTCACAGGGCTCCAAGACCGAGGCTCGCAACAAATGCGCGCGCGCCCCGCCCCCCCGCTTCTACATAACATACCCCCCCGTTTACCTTCAGAATCCTGAAGGCTGATGCGACGGCCTGGTCGTCCCCGCCGCCAACCCCACCCCCGGTCCCGCCGCCGCCGCCGCCTCCGCCGGCACCTCCGGAGAAAATGTTGTTGTCACCGCCACCGCCGCCGCCGCCGCCATTTCCCTCGTTGTCGTTGTTGACGGTAAGGGCGGTAACGCCCTGGCTGCCCTCGAGCGCCTCGAGCTGGGACGACGCCTACGTAACGTTAAATCCCCAAAAAATGGGATGGTGGTGAACGAGAAACACAACGCAGCGGGTTTGACCGTTCAGCAGAGAGAGAGAGAGATAGAGCGGTAGCGATCTGTCTCTGTGTCATCAACAAGCACAAACACGGTTATGCTTGACGCACCAGACCGATGCTTCACAAAAAAAATCATGTTCTCCTGGAACCATCAGAATGCGGGCAAAAGTTCACCCACTCAGCAAAACACTCGGACCCCGTTCCGAAAAAAGCAGTAAACTGGACCCCTGCCCCCTTCCCCAAAACACGCAAGAAGTAGTCAAACTAAGGCATCACCCAGGTGCGCAGTGCCGATGCATGTATCACACTCACGATGACGGAGCCTACGGCAAGGCCGTGAATCTCTAGCTCGATGCAGATGTTGCGATACGCCCCGGGCTGCAGGATGGTCGGGGAGGCTAGGTCCTCCGCCCAGATCTGACGGAGGGGCGGCGCAAGACGCAACAGCAGCAATTCGCTTGGACACATACCGCGGCAGCAACAAGACGGCTAGTTCCTACTTCGAAGGACTTGTTGTGCAGCGCCGGACCGCGTTATCTGCTACACTACTTCCCAAGATATACCCCAAAACAACACGCAGCTGCAACAGTCCTTCGCCGTCAGACTCAACAACTTGATGTGCAAGCCGGTCGTCGCCACGACTGGACAAAACCTTACAACAGGACTAGCCTGAGACAGGTGCCGTTTTCATCTGTTTTACCATTATTTCAAGAACAAACCACTTTCATCTCTATGAACAGAACAGAGAGTCATCTCTATCCACAACAAGAAAGTCTTGCATAGTTAGCGTCTAGCGCAGCCATTTTTTCATGAACAAAATACAAACAATAACGTCCACCTCAGAAACAAAGAGAGCCCAGCAGACAAATAAACGACGAACTGAATCTATATTACACTACGTGGCAAGCGCTACAACAAGCAAGCAAGAAAGCAAGCTTAGGCGCTCACGTCGTTGTCGTCCCCCTCCCTTCCCCCGAGGTCCGGACGAGAGGTCTCCGAAGCCCACAGAACGTGCCGGTTGTGCCTCAGAAGGCGCCCGAAGAACGCGTCGGCCATGGCGCAGGGAGCGTCTGCCCCGATGTTGGCCAGCGGGAGGTGCGCGTACCGCGCGCAGAGAAGTCGGTCCGCGAGCCACCTCGGGGCGATGAAGAACCTGTTTTTTTTTCCGGTGTCGGCATGTATGTGATCGTGTGGGTGGGTGGGTGGTGGCAGTGCAGTAGGGGGGGGAGCGGGGGGGCACGCGTGTGTGTGTGTGTGTGTGTGTGTGTGTGTGCTTTTTCTTACTAACAGCATCGACCGCGCAAACAGGCTGACCAACGAAAAGACGTCAGTCTCCGTGCGGTTGAAAACAAACTCTTGAAAAGGTCATGATCTGGGACCTTGTGAAGGAGCGTCATGGGGAAGTCTACGCTACTCTCCGGATGAAAGGCAGTTACCGTTGAAATAACACAGTGTGTGCGTGTTTGTGATTCTTACTTTCGTTCTCTGCGTAGCAAGCATTCACAAACGCGAACACCAGATGCGCGAAGTTGGGGAGAAAATGCGGAGTCCCAGCCACAGGGCAGAGAATCCACTTTGGCGGGGAGGGGGTGTCGAACATGTTACCGTGAAAATAGATCACCCCCACGCGAGGATTGTCTTATTGTAGCGTGCGTTTTCTGTTGTCGCCCGCCTTGTTATGAATGAAGCAAGAAAAGCTCCAGCCGCCATGTAAGTCGCCTTCCCACCACGCCATACAGGTCAATCTGTAAAATACAGCATCACGTTGGTTTTCCTCCGTTGCCCAACCGTCGCCTCCTTGCCTCCTTCTTTGACATTAATCCGACCAAAGCCAAGTTGAAGCCCAATTATACCGTCGCCGCCGGACAAGTTGTCCTCGGTCTATTGAAACCCCTACAAGCACTAAAATCGACCCAATAATGGTGCCCCCCCGGTCTTGGCGTCATTTTCGCTAGTTGTCAAAATATGTTTGTATACCTTTGCACCATCCTTTGTGCGGCGAATGCCTGCCATCCCAGAGCCGGGTACCTCTCGTCCTCGGCGTTGCCGGGGATGTGCGTTACGGGCAGCTCGGACAGGGCAGGGAGACGCCGCCGCAGCTCCTGTAGAGAGTTTAGGATGTTGGAATGGGCAGGAGGGAGGGGAGGGGAGGGGAGGGAAGGGAAGAGAGAAAAAGAAATATTGTCAGAGATGAAAGGTCGAAGTTGTAGAGTATCCACTTAGTCTGTGGAAGCCACGCGAGAAAGATATGTCAGGCAGCGACGAAAAACGTGGCACTTGCGCCTTCCATACGAGAAACGCAACTCGTCCAAAGAAGTACATGGAATCAGCAGCCGCGATTTCTTCAACGATGGCACCGCAAAGCCCAAAGGCTGCACCTCACTTTTCCCATTGGACTCCGTCTTTGCGGAACACACCACTCACACGGATGACACGGGGAATGTCCAGGGGGCACACCGTCCCACAACGCAGTTTGTCATTCCGACAAACTCGGGCATATTTGGAGTAGTTGGACTGTGACCACGGAAGGAGTTCCGATTCATCAGTTGGACCGGCGTAGATACCGACCGGAGCACCGGAACGGTTCTAACATGAAACAAAGGGGGGGAGGGGGCACACCTGTCCTTGCAGCAGCCCCTGTGACAGGACCAACGTTGGGCCGTTTCTCTGTCGGGAGTAAGAGGCCAGGGAGGCGTCGGCGGCAGCCCAGGCTTCGTCAGCGCTGCTCACCGAGGACGTCTTGAACGTGCACGAGCTGTCCGGGTTGCTGTGGCAAGATAGAGATAGAGAGAGATAGGGGGAGAGAGAGAGAGAGAGAGAGAGAGAGAGAGAGAGAGAGAGAGCGGCCGAAAAGGCCAAGGCAAAGAGAAAAACGAGAGCAGAGGAATGAGACGATTTGGGCACCATTATCTGCTCAGTGTGCACCTCCATCGCCGGATGGAAAGAGGCGTGTCTCCTCTTGTTTTTACCACATTATGGTGAGCTTTCACGGCCGTTACACGCAAGAAAGAGGAAACAGCAACGGGGTCGTTTGACAAACCTGGTGTTTATCACAGATGCTATCCAGACTCTCAAAGGAAACATGCGTTTTGACTTGGAACCAAATTGCTTCTATGACAACAGCATCAATAACCAAACACCCCAGACAAACCAGAGTCGCACTTGGTAAACTTCTCGAAGATGCGCGAGAACGGCGGCCGCTGCTCCCCGTCCCTCCTCGAGAAGGGGTTGACAAGCCAAACCACGGCCTTGGCGATCACCGGACGCTCGCCCGGACCCAGCCCCCCCTCACCCCCTACGTCCTCCGCACCGCCTTCCGCGGTGGGCTCTGGCTCGATATCCTCGTTTGTGCCCTGAGAAGGAATGAAATTCATGTGACGTCATCAAGGTCGACAGCATCAAAAGAGGAAGGGGGAAGGGTCATACCATTATGATCGACATTGACAACCAACCATGATGAACAGGAAGGTGAGAAAACAAGGGCGCACCGGCGGCCGATGCCTTCGGGAGCGCACAAATAGAGTGGGGGGTGGGGCAGATCTTGCATGCGACGCGGAGAGTTTCGCATCTGCAGGCAGGTGGGTTCGGCATTGCCACAAGAAATAAGTTATTGTGACCACATCGCAGCGGAACTGCCGTCTGCGAAATGAATGCATGCGTTGCACACACGAACCTACAAGTGTAGCTCCTCAGTGCCTGACTGCGGCTGTCTGCTGAGGATGACCTGTGGTTAATTTCGCCGTTGGCAGACGACGGTTGGTTGTGATGATCGCGCGAGAGTCTTGCAGTAATCGGTACCACACACACCACCAAATGAATCGACGGTGCCGAATCGTGGACATGTCTTGAACCCAGAAGGAATAAAACCACCTCTGCTACCCAGGAACATTGGAAAAAGAGTCTCGTCTCCTCTAAATCAAATTCGTCGCACCTGAACGTAGAAGAGCCCCACCATTCCCCGCTTGCCGGAGCTAGAGTGGTAGAGGTAGATGTGCTTGAACGTCGCCACCGAAGGGTGGAGGTACGGATGGGCAGCCTGGACAGAGAAGTCGGGGTCAAACGCGAGGCATGTCGCGCGGAAGGGCAAGCAAGGCACGCGGCATAAACGGTGTAAAGGAGGGAGGAGCGACTACTATTTTCGTTCAACCCCGAGCATCATCGCAAAGCCACGGAGCCCCCAATCCTATGCACATCAATCGTACAATGCATTCCATCGTTTTCTGATTCTCACCGCAGTCACGAGCTCCAAGTCTTCCAGCTCGAAGCCCGGTGCCTGGCCAGAGCCGGACTTGACCCCCTTCAGCGCCTTCGCCCTCCCCTGGACGACCCTGGCAACCGAGCCGAGGTGGAGCATGGCCCGGTACACCAGGGGGGTGCCCAGCTCGTACACCCCCTCTATCCCCGCGTGGTGAAGAAAATCCTCCACCTTTTGCGCCGTTGCACGAAGTTAGAGAGAGAGAGGAGGGGGGGGGGGGGGGTAC